GGGATCAAGTCCCACATCGGGCTCCCTGCTCGGCGGGGAGTCTGCTTCTCCTCCCTCTGACCCTCCTCCCTCTCCTGCTCTCTGTCTCTCGTTCTCTCTCTCTCAAATAAATAAAATCTTTAAAAAAAAAAAAAAAAACTTCCCTGGTGTATCAACAAAGCTAAGACTGCATGTGAGAAACAGGAGTTCTGTGGTAATGAGGTAATCGTCTTTAGCATTCTCTGGTTTAACAAACTTTTGTAGGCGACATCTATTTTCCAAAGTAATACAAGTTCATATTTTTAAAAGTGTATGATGTATGAAACACTAAGTTACATGGCTGCTTTTGTCAAATGGCATACCTTCTCCACAAAAACAGTTGAAATCGTTGTTACTTCCTACTGACCTTACTGCTTTTTAATTAAATTTCTGCATTTTTTTCATACTGCATATTTCATATGCATATTTATAAGAGGTAAGAATTATGAATAAACAACAAATGCAACAGATCTCTAAAAATCGCCACAAAAGCATTTGTCTTTCTTGGAATGTTAAGAGCTGACATTCTGGGGCGCCTGGGTGGCTCAGATGGTTAAGCGTCTGCCTTCGGCTCAGGCCATGATCTCCAGGGTCCTGGGATCCAGCCCCAGGTCCAGGCTCCCGGCTCAGCGTGGAGTCTGCTTCTCACTATCCCTCTGCCTCTCCCTCTGCTTGTGCTCTCTCTGTGTCTCTCTCTCTCAAATGAATAAATTAAAAAAATCTTAAAAAAAAAAAAAGGAGCTGACATTCTGTGTATCAAAAATTACACTGAAAAGTTTTAACATGTGAATAACAATGGTATAGTTTCACTAACACGAAAGAGTACTTTGTATTGAAATACGACCCCAGTGCAGTATCTTCATAACCTTTAGTCGACACCAATAAAGTATTTTTAAAATTGTATTGGGCAAGTACTACATAACAGGCACTGTTCTAAAGATGTATTGGACATAGATAAACATAGTCTTGGCCCTCGAGGAACTTAGTTTAGCAGAAGAATCCTATGCAAATATTGCCCTACTGTGCTATTCATAACAGACCATAACACTGGGCCCATGAGGCCGAAAGGAAAGTCAGCTGATTCTACTGGAAATGGATCAGGGAAGATTTTAGAAAGAACCCTTGAACTAAGCCCTGAAAGATGAGCAAAAATTCTTCAGTGAGATAGAGGGCAATGGCAGTACCCACAGAAGGAACTGCAGGCTGGTTGCAAACATGGGAAGCCATGAAACATCGTGGTGTACTGGGGTTCTGTAATTCTGTGCAACTAGAATGCAAGACTTGGGTAGGAGGGGGGCAGACGGAGCTGGAGACCATAAATAGAAGCTGACTTACAGATGTTCCAATAGGAGTTTGTATGTTACCCTACAAAGAAGCGACGCCACTGAAAAATCCTTATCAGGGTAATGATGTGATCGGTTTACACTTCACTTCATCGTTTAGGACTCTACGACTCCCGTGAGACGGTTATCCTAGCTGAGGGTCCTCACTCGCGGGGCCCCTGGATTCGCCCCCTTCTCCCAGTTTGCTGTTACCCCACCCGCCGTGCGATCCCGCCTCCCGCGGAGCGCCCCTGTAGTCCGACTTTGGCAGCACTTCCCCACAGGAGACTGGACACTCGCTGTCACCCGCAGGCCGTCCCCTCAACGTGGCATCTGAGCATCCTTTCGGAGGCTGACAGATCTGAGCTTCGGCTTTGGGCTCTGCCCCTACTCGTGTGACCGCGGTGTGATTGCCTCAGTTTCCTTCCTGGAGCTGGGGAAGGCCCGGCCCCCTGGCCATTAGGCGGCTGTGCGTTAAGTGGTAGACGCCGGGGGAGAGCCGGCGAGGGGCGGACCCCAGCGCCCACAGTGACGGGGGCGCGCGCCGCCGGCTCCGCCCGAAGACTCAAGGCGGCGGGCGAGCGGGGTAAGCCGGGCCGTGGGTGGGAGGGCGGGGCGGCTCACCGGTAAAAAGCAGAATCCCCGAGCGGGTTCCAATTCGCCGTGTAGCAGTCCATGGCTGGTGCAGGCGGCGGCTGGGCAGCGCCGAAGGGACACCCGCCTAGCACGGGCTCCGGGCCGGCACTTCCGCTTCCGCCCGTCCGGGTCACGTGGCGAGGATGCCGCCACGGCCATCACCACTGTGGGCAGCTGCACTCGGCCGCCGCCGCGCCCCCGCCCACACCCGG